TTTCAGAAAACAAACCGTAACTGATGGTTTGGTGTTGTCCAAATACAAAAAATTATAAACTGATTAAACTTACTTTAATGGGTATTAACCTGCAATTTGTCTCAAATCCAGGTGTACTTTGGATTCATTATCTTGCCCTGCCTGCCTGGGAACTGTGAGTTGCTGAGCACAGGTCTGGCAGGTGGGGAAAGGAATTAGGAAGGGAACTGTGGAGCCAGGAAACCCAATCCTGTGTATCTATAGGATCTGGTTCGTTGCTAACTCAAGAAGGAACAAAATACAGACAGTGTCTTAGCCCACAGAGAGAGAGGCATGCAGAGGGGAAGAATCTCCAAGTCTGGCTGGGCTTGGAACCTCCCGGAGCCACAGAGCAAAGCACTTCCACTGTTCCTTCTTTATTATGGCCCAGGGTCCCTATGGGCCTAAGGGTGCCCTTTGGCAAGAGCCCCCCAAATCTGCCAGAGTATTTTGCCTGCCTCCCTGTATCACAAGAGAAAGGGGACCCATTAGTCCAGAGGTGCTGCTGCAAATGGCCCAGGCCTCTGCGGGAAATTGGGAGTTGCCACACCTTCCCAAATCCCTTCGCCTATGTAAAAGCCATCATTGTAGACAAGGCATTGATGGAAAAACAGACGGCCAGCCAGGTATGCATCTCCTGCATCAGCAGCATAGTCCCTTCCTTCCAGAACCGGGGGAAAGGAGATCTGGTGGGAAAATTTCCACTTAAGATGTAAGATATAAGAAAGATTAATTAATACCTTGATTTCATTTACAAGGTTGAAAATAGTATTTACCTTTTTATAGTCTGACTAGAGGCCCGGTGCATGAAATTCGTGAACGGGGGCAGGAGGGAGGGCGGCGGGGAGGGCTCAGCCTGGCCTGCACCCTCTCCAATCCGGGACCCCTCAGGGGATGTCTGACTGCTTCTCGAAATCCAGGACCACTGGCTCCTAACTGCTCGCCTGCCTGCCTGCCTGATCGCCCCTAACCACCTTTGCCTGCCTGCCTGATTGCCCCTAACTGCTCCCCTGCTGGCCTGATCACCCCTAACCGCCTCTGCCTCCCCCCACACCAGGGACCCAGGATTCCATCCTCCGGCCAGTCGCAGGCACCTGGGACCCAGTCTTCCCTCCCTCTGGCCGGCTTCGCCCGGGCCAGCTGCAGCTGCAGGGGACCATGGGTGGGCGGTTTCACCCAGGCTGCAGCCACAGGCACCCAGGACCGCGGGGCATGCGGCTTGTCCCTCTCCCGAGCCGCAGCCTGGCTCGTCCCCATTCCTCTCTTGCGAGCTCATTTGTGCCTGGCTGGTTCCCATTCCTCTCTCCCCAATGTTGAGTGTCTGAGCTGTTATTGTGTGAGGGCATGACAACCATTTGCATATTAGCTCGTTATTATATAGGATTTTTAGCGGTTCTCAACCTGTGGGTCACGACCTCTTTGGGGGTCGAATGACCCTTTCACAGGGGTAGCCTAAGACCATCAGAAAACACATATATAATTACATATTGTTTTTGTGATTAATCACTATGCTTTAATTATGTTCAATTTGTAACAATGAAAATACATCCTGCATATCAGATATTTACATTACGATTCATAACAGTAGCAACATTACAGTTATGAAGTAGCAACGAAAATAATTTTATGGTTGGGGGTCACCACAACATGAGGAACTGTATTAAAGGGTCACGGCATTAGGAAGGTTGAGAACCACTGATTTAAACCATTGCGCACTGAAACCCCAAAGTCTAAAAGCTCAGATACCACCCTGGCCGGTGTGGCTCAGTTGGTTGGAGCGTCATCCTCTGCACCAAGAGGTGGCAGGTGTGATTCCTGGTCTCTCCCTCTCTCTCTCTCCCACCCCCACCTCCTTCCTCTCTCTAAAAATCAATTACTAAAAAATATTAAGAAGAAAGAAGTTCACATGCCCCCGCAGCCTTGCAGCTGAGTTAAAGGACGTCACGGTGCTATGCAGAGTAGCTGCCCCACAGCACGTTTGTTTAGGAGACAGATCTGGTGCAGCAGCATCGGAGTGTTTCCCTGTCAGGTGTGTGAGTGCTTTGGAAGCCTCCGAGGAGAAGTCCCTGACACGCCTGGCAAGCCCAGAACCTGGTCTCTCCTTCTTCCTCGCTGCTTCACATCGCACTGACGTGGTGCACAGGGGGAGGCCCGGAAAGAAGGAAACAAACCCACTGCTTGAGAATTTAGACTGCAGAGCTCACTCGCTCAAGTCATAATCCACAAAAGCCGGCAAAATCACACACAGGTTCGCATATTTCCAAGAGCCACCCTTGGGCTTTTTTAAAGGACAGGAGTATGCATCTAGGCTTTGCAATGTACCATTTGGTTAGAAACATTTAATCACATCTCCCCAAATTGTTGTGCTTAGAAGTTACACACCAATGTATTTTTTACTTCAAAGCCAAGCAACCTGAAAGATTTCCAAGCATGTCACGCATCACATTTAGCTGCCTTTGCTATGAAGGGCTTCCAGCCAAATGGCTCACACTCGTCACCTAGAGAAGCGGAGGCAGAGAAAATTTTCAGCAAATAGTAAGCTCCTGAAATACATTGTATTATGCTGGTTCTGAATAAACTACACCAGTTTCCTCATTTAGATGATCAGAGCTATTCATCTAAATGGATCTTAAAGATATATCAGCTCTACTCTTTGTGCATCAGAATGCAGTAATTCATTACTTAACATCTAGCCCTTCTCCTGCAGCTTTTTCTTGCTCCCCTCCCCCCACCATGATTTCTGCCTCGTCTCTGTCTTGCCTATAGACACCACCTGAAGGGCTCACTGTGAAGGTTACCTGTGTGCTTGTCCTGTTGGTGTCACTGGATGGTAAGCAAAGGCCCAGTGTGGAAGTTGTTCTGTTCACATATCCTCTCAGAATGCTTTGCTTTGAGTCACTTCTAAATATTTGTTAGCTCCCATTGATTTCCTAAACAGCCTAATCACCCTCTGGCTTCATCTCTGTGAGGTCCCAACCAAAAGTGTGCACACACATTTTAGTTTTGTTGGGGTTCTTCTTATACCCTATGTTTATATTTCAATATTTAGGATATACAGTATAAGAGAATTTGGGGGGATGGGGCCAGCTGCAGGCAGCTGGGGAAGATGGCCCTGATTGCAGGCCAGGCCTAGGGACCGTACCTGAGCACGAATTTCATGCACCAGGCCTCTAGTACAGTATAAGGGAATTTGGACTAGTAGGTTTACTTTGTAACCTATTAGATAAGCTTTGTGAGTTACAGTTAACCTTCAGATCATGCATGCATCCTAGTCATTTTTCCTTTGTTCATTAGCAATAACTACAAGTTCTTAAAGAAACATTAAAAGTCAGACGTATAACTAAATGTCTCTTTCCCTCCTGCTTCCTCACATGAACAGTGATAGAGTTAACACTACAGAGACATCCATAGCCTCAGACTTCAGTCATGCGCGTCCTTTAGGTTCCTGGGCCTTTCATGCTTTCATTTCTGCCTGAAATCCTTTGTGGAACAAACTAGGGCATCGAGAAATGAAAGGATTATTTAAAGAAAGAAAGAAATATGTCTTCATTAGAGCTTTCTTATCAGTCGAGAAGTAGGCATTTAATTACTTAATATGCAACAGGCTGGATGCTAAGGATACAAATGAATAAAACTATATGAATATTCCTATCTGGATATTCCAGCTTTTCTTGACCTTTATGACATCTTTGTTGATCATATATCTGTATACTAGTGTCTTTCATCCTAGATGTGTATGCATTGAAAAATGCGTACATGTAGGCAAACTGAAATCAGGGAAGAATATTTTCATAAATTATTTTCAATCTGTTAAAATATTTTGAGCCTCTGCACATAGATTGTGTTTACATGGCAATAAACAAGCCTTTTATCGGAAGAAACTAGCCAAAACATATGCTTGTGAATCACAATATTTTGACCCAAGAAAAAATGTTTCTACCCTTTTCCATCTTCAATTTTTTTTCCATATCGGAGTTTTCCAAATGAAGTGTCTCAGATAGGTTGTCTCCAAGTCAGTTCACCTCTACGAGGCCTCGGTTAGTCACCAGTGGACGGCCCCATCCTGCCTTACTTACCTTTAGCCTCCCACACACAACAGATATGTTCCTTTGAAGTTGGATGTTTATGAATTTGGTAGAGATCCTTTTGAAAACTTAAAAGTTCTTTTGAAATATGAATATATCTCCTCAATTATAGTAACTGCTATGTAACTATGGACAGTTACTGCTTAAAGCAACCTGTACCTGCTTAAATCAACCTGTATCTCAAGATAAACAATTAGCTCGGGGAGGTGGTCAAAACTGCACTATACTTTTGAAAACATGACCCAATGTCATGCATAGAAACAAACTTTCCAAGACCTGTGCCAGATGTTACAGCTAACCCATCTGAGCACATGAAAAATACTGGCCCTTTGGTATCATTTTCTTCATTATTATGTCAGTATTTATTTCTGTGGAAATCGTAAGTTCCTAGAGAAAGTACAGCCTTGAAATAGAATCATCTTCAGGTCAACTTACTAGACCAAGGGAAGCAGGTGTTTGTGGGAATCCTTAATTGCTGAAAAGCTATATTCGATTGAAAGATAACATTTCGGAGCTCTGGCAAAACCAAAACAAAGCCAAAAAACAAGCCAGCCATCATTATGTGATTTTTTTTTCAATTATGCTTTTATTTATGCATCTACATGTTTTTATTGCTACCTAAATAAGAAAATCTTCATACATGTAGGTTTGGATTCTGGAAATGTTCCACTGAGATTCCTGGTCCCGATTGTGTGATGGCTGTAATTTGTGAAATCTAGGAGGGGCCGAATGGTTATATTGGGCTTCAGTCTGAAGAACTGTTTTAATAGGAATTTTATATGCAAGGCTAAATGCTGATCAACAGAGCATAATATTGTATCTTGAAATGTGCTCGTGAAAACAAAATTAATTTTTTTTCTTCTTTCTTTCCTTCTCCCAAACCATCTTCTGCTGTAGCGACTGCATTTGCCTCCAGACTTGTCAGACACAGTGAGCCGCTCAAGCAAACCGGATCTGGCAGACTCCACCAAGCTGCTGGGCCCAGGCTGTGGCATGATGGCCGGAGGCAAGAAGCACCTGGACTTCTAGATGCCTCCCTAGTTGTTGCACGCAGAATTATGACACTCTAATTATGAGTGCTAAGAGCTTATGTAAATATTTTTCTTAACGATCTGACCCTCCAATTCTTGAAAAACACAGGATTGCAAAATGATGCCCCCAGTCTTCATTTTTTTAAACCAAATTTTTGTACAGAAATAATACAGAAGAAATACTTTCATTTTAAAAATGTGTTTTATGCTACCTCTAAGGAAAATAGGCACTTTTATTTTTAAATAAAATGTCAAAAGTTCAAGATGCCACACAGTGGTCATGGCTGTATATTTATTAAGGCACTTAGCTCATGGTAAAGTGCGAGTCACAGAGGGGGTAGTGTATAAAGCATTCTGAAATTCAAAATTGTGTATGAAAAACATATTTTCTCTTTCTTAAAAAGTCACTTGCCACCAAAAATGCTAAGCTTTATAAAACATTGAAAAATGTGTTTGCTAATATATGAAGACCAATAATAAAATGAATTTGCATTTATGCATCCTATGATTAAATTGATGAAGACAAAATAATATTTTGGGATTAAGCTCCATTAAAGGTAATTAGTCTGCTGTAGTAGTTAATGAATATAAAGGACTTGAGTGCTAGAAAGCATAGAGAAAGAAGTTGATGGTCTTCTATTTAGTAATCTTAAACAATTGAAGTCAGCACTACGAAATTATGTCAACACACATAATTTGGGATTGAAATTCAAACTGACAGCTACATTCATGCTAGAAAACTGGGGAAAACATGTATGGAAGCTTGGTGAGGGATTTTTACAGAACATAGGGCTGAGACAAAGCAGAAAACGAGCTGAGTGCATTAGGTAAACTCATTGTTAATTTTGAACATTGGGTACTTACATTTATAACCATATAGACATGTATTTGGGGTTTATAGCATACTGAACCAGTTTTCATATGAAACACTAGGATTTTGAATCATAATTCTACACTCTCACAGCTTTTGATAAATAGTAGACCAAAAAAATTTGTTAAGTAATTTGCATATGTAAGTAAAAAGTTTCAATTTTTTAAAGCTATTTAAAGCTGTTACCACCTAAATTTCCAAAATACATTTTCAAATATGTTAGAGTATTTTGAAGCAGTTTTATAACTAGCATTTTAAGTAGTTTGCTTTTAATATACCACAAATTACACTTTATTTGTTCTTGACAACATTGTAGAAAACAAAGACTAGGTTTTTAAACTGTCTAACCAATCTGATGAATGTCAGTCACTTAAAAAAAAACCCACTGTAGCATAAACACACACTGTATACAGCTTTTATTCAGAATTAGAATAATTGAATCAATGACAGTGATTCGCCAGGATGTCAAATCTCTCCATCAGATCCTGTCACTACCAGTTTATTTTTTGTGATCAAAATCAAAAAGACAACTATTTTGTCACCCACTATTTCATTAGTACTAAAAATCAGATTTCTTTTTTCCTTTTTTTTTTAGAATGTCTGGTTTATTTTTTTTTTCACTTCTTTTAATTCAAGAGACACAAATTCTTTCCCATTTTCATTTCAAAATAAAGTTTCAGAATTGATCTGTCAGTTAAAATTAGAGGGCTTTTTATATTAAGCAAAGGTGCTTTTAAAATTTAAAGCAACTTCAGAAACTCAATTTAGTCCATAGATAATAAAGCATGTGCAGTTACTCCCCAAAAGCTTTGCTATATCCTTTGAAAGCATTATGAACAATCTGAATAAATTCAAATGACTATTTTAGTCTGGTTATTATTTTAATAACTCTAACCTTTTTCTTACCGTGTTGTGACTCATTTATGCAAACACACAACGGAACAATTACATAGCATTGGACTCTGAAAAAAAAAAAGTGAGGTCATCAGATATGTAAATTGCTTGTCAAAAATACTTAATAGGTCATTGATTTACTACCCTGGCTACCATGTCTATAAAATTAGCAGCCAATTACTAGTTAATGTATGCTTTGCAAACAGATAAATGCTATAAAAATTGAGCATATTTGATCCCAACTTATTTTAAATATAAAAGAAACTTTTCAAACTAAGTAAAACTGCATTTTGAACAATAGTACTTGGGCCTTCCAAAAATTAGATGCAAGTGTTTGGTTGTTCTGATTCACTAGGCAGGCTTTGTAAAAATTAGCTACTGAAGAGGGATGTATATTTTTGTTTTCCTCTGATAAAAATGTATTTTCCTTCTGGAAGCATTATCCAATTAGCCATATGTTAATAATTTACTACATAAAAATATCACTGATGCTACCATAGGTATATGGACCATTTTTGATACATTATGAAATATACATTCTATAAACAGATTTTTTCAGTTATCAACTTGTCTCAAATACTTATCTAACAATGGCAAGCAGAGTTTTTTTTAAATGTTTCTAAAACTTCAAAACCCTCTCTGGTATTCATTTCTTACGCTAGATTTGCCTTTTTTTTGGTGAGGTAAATATTTTGACCACTGCAGTCTGCTCAGATCCTGGGGTTCTAAGACCTTAGGAATTACTTTCTGGTAACCACCAATTTCCACTTTTCTCTTTCTCTCTTCCATTTATTCTTTATTTGTACCTCCAGGATCTGCGATTACTAACACTACACAAAATAAAACTACTTCAAAAGAAGCAACACTTGGCAATCGATTCCCTGTCTTTCTTTTAATTTTAAAGAATCAGACACAGGCATCCACATACAAAAGGAAAATGGGGGTGGGGTGGCCCCTATTCATTTGTTTAAGTCCATTATGAATGTCATTTCTAAAACATCATGTTAATGCCTTCCATAGATAGTCACCATCAACACCATCAAATTTAAGCAAGACTAACTTTAAATACTTGCACTCTGAACTTTAAAACTGAGCAGAAGTGATGCAAAAAAAAAACCACACACACACACACACAAAAAAAAAGGTGAGGTTTATTCTAGAGAAACAAACAAAGGAAGAATTTGTGTTTGGTCTTGGTGAGCCAGACAGTCAAAGAAGAGCCTTCTTTTTATAATCTTGTTCATGTGAAGGCCTAGGGAAAACCAAGAAGCAGAAGAATATAGACACCACCCTAAGATGACAAAAATTCACAAAAAAAAAAAAAATGCTGAATCTTAACAAATACTGTATCTCAGGAAACTGGTTATGATTTTTTTTTTTTTTTAAGCAGGAGGAGATGAGTATGTGCGCCATATCAAGAAAAGTCAGTGGGTCACCATGTAAGAGTCAGGAGGTACAGCTTTGGAGGGAAAATATTCTGGAAATTTCTTGTAGTAAAAAAGAATTTTTTTACTCAGTAACCTGAATGTTTCTTACTCAAACATTCACCTCTGACTCTGTTCACCTGGTCTCCCTAAGCCAGCCAAGTTTGAAGGAAAAGCATAAGCTGTTAATCGTGTGGTTCTACTGAGGACACCCCCAAATACCAGGCCACCGTCCTAGAAGATGGTGTCAAAGCTTCCCTGCGGAGTTCCCACTAATACATACATACATACGCCTAACTGTAAATAAAGTTTCAACAATAAGTCGAAGGCAGCCTCCTGGGCATTGCTTCCACACAGTGCTGGCCATGCTGTCCCCAGGAGGGTGCCCAGAGCTGCATTCAGGGTACCACTCATCTCCCCAGGGTGAGAGCAGAAGGCAGGGCAGCCTTGCATCCTGCTGGATCAGAGGGCTTCTGCAGCTGAGCAGCCGCTTCTTCCAACTCAGCCAGGCCGTGCCACTGTGCCCTGGAAATCTAGTCCCTCAGAGGTCACGGGCCCAAGTGCACACGCACCGACTCTCCACTCCCCCAGCACTCCCCTTCTCCCGTTCCCAGCTCCTGCACCCAAGGGCCACCAGTTCTCCTAAGTCTATACTCTACACAACAGAGCCATGGGCCAGAACTGGTTGCCTAACCCTGGCCCAAATCATAGCCAGTTGGAAATGGTCCCCCTTCTTCCAGGGAAGAAGCCAGGCAGCAGCTGCAGCACACACCACACGTAGCCCTTCCGACAGTTCCCTGGATACATGTCCCTCTGGGAATGTAGGCTGTGAAATGTCAGGAGATAGAAATACCTGCATGGGCAACTGTACCAACAGTGCATATGTCTGCACATGCCACTGCAGAAGTGTGCAAGCATGCAGTGCAGACTGACATTGAATCAAACTACACACACACATGAAAAAGCTACAATCAACCTAGAAAGGTGTCTCTAAATGCACAGCAACTCTGGTGGAATAAAAGCATTAACACATAGCATGCCAGAGAGATGAATCACAATGATCTGTTCACAAGTGACTCCTTAACGAGAAAATAGGAGATGTGGAGGTAGAAGATTGTTTTTTTAAAGCCTCCAATTAATTTCTATATTTCTGATAATTTGCTTTTGGGGGTTCAAAACATAACAAATAAAAAGCACAGTACAATTCAGTGGAAGTGGGTCTTTGTCCCCAGAGGTTTCTGCCTGTGCAAGCATTTAATCTAGACTGCCGGGCCCCCAGCCTTTGATGGAAGTTTGCAGAAGGAAACATCTATATTGACTTATGTGTTGCACAGAACATACAGAAATAAAAGTCTCAGACAGGTTTTCAAAACAACAAAGGCTTATTTTCTTCCATCCTTTGCTTGGGCTCAAGCACTCCTGCCCTGCGTGCCGCCACTTTAAACATGATCAGATCTGTGCTTCATTGCAAATAACAACTGACCAACAATGGGCCCTGCTTCATAGATTTGGGAATGTTTGGCTTAAGCTGCCAATGACTGAAGGCCTTTAACTCCCACCGGCCAGTCACAGTCTGCTTTGTTGTTGTCTGTTGATGTGTCTGTGCTCATTATTCCTTGACATGCAACATCCCCCCTCCACCCTCCAACCATCCACAACCGCACAGAAAGGGAGATTCAAATGGGAACAGCTGTAGTGGTTCAATGGGGAATGATGCCTCTGTGCAAAGGGGAGGGAGAGAGAAAAGGGAGAAAGGCAACAGCTTTCAGAGAGTCTTGTATAAGAAATCTACTTTTGAATATACTTCAGTGAAATCGCTGTTGAAATAGGCTGACAATGGAAATCTGCCCAGATTGAAAATGCCAGCCCTAATTCAAAAGACAATTCTTAGTTAATAGCTTGTTGCATTTTTAAAATTATTTCTAGACTTTGAGCTTTTGGATGAAATGGCTAGCTGGAAAATGTTTCCATTTAGTATGTGTGTTGTGGGCATAAATGGGCACAGATCTACATGCAGCTTCAAATAGAATTTTTCTAACACATTTCTGATTTATGATATCTTTAAGAATTATTTCTTTAAGGATCATCGGGTTTTAAAATAGAGAATGTATGAAAGTAACCATTGGTTTAGAATGTTACTCCAACATGGGAACAAAATTTGTAACACCACACTGTAAGGTTAAAAAGAAAATAGTATAATAAAGGAAATACAAAGGCTTTGGCATGGTTTTTACAATCAACAATGGTTAATTTTGATATGTAGTTGTGAACAACTTCAAAACACTTAAGTTTAAAACTCTTGCAAGCACTTTTAATTGATTAGGAATGAATTCTAGATGCACAAAATGATTGGACTGTGAACAGTAATACAACTATATCTAAGAACAATAAACTTTTGCTGGCCAAAAAAGAAACGCGTGATTGCATGAAAATGTGTATAAAACATCTATAGAGTATTCTTGTCAAATATAAATGAAATTAACTTTATTATAGAAATCATTCTGAGGATTTCTAGGGAAGACAAATACTTACATTTTGACATAAAACAAATTGGATTATATCGAAGACACACTCTACCTTTTAGCTATCAACTTTTTTCTTCCTTGAATTTATATCTTACCCTTTTTTGCACATAAACTTCATCTGTTAACAACCTTTGGAAAACCAACAGATATTTCTTACATAAATCTAGTGCATGTTGTTCCAGGTTTAATTATATGCAAAGGAATGATTCAAACTTGGAACCTCAGTCCATAAACTATGAACAGATGGGTAGAAGTAGTCGATATATCTTGATAAAATTCTTAAATTCATGGCAAAGCTTGTTGATCATGGTTTCCTTTTTTTAAAAAAAACAAAAACAAAAAACAAAAAAAAACAACTTCATGACCAGCACAGATCAAATGTCCATCCAGTCTACGTTGTTCTTTTTTTCATTATTACAAATGCCCATTTACAAATAATACACCAAAATGAATAAAAGTTTGGATACCAAAATGAAGATTTGTTCCAACTGATCTCATGCCTTCTGTATACAAAGGTCCTTGTTCCAAGTCCGTCCTCCAGTGGTACAATACTGGACACAATCGCAGAACTTTGAAGTGCTACTAACAGCCATTTTCCTTTCCTTCCTGAACGCCCAACTGCCGTGTCCACATAGTCACTGACTGAATTAACACAATATATTTTTTCTTTCTCTTTTTTTTTACTGTAATCTTGGCCAGTATTGAGACATATCAGGTTCACTTCCAGGAACTTGAACTGGAACTGATACACCAGGGGAAATGAGTCCTGGAAGTGGATGAAAAAAAATAGCCATGTAGATATTCCCTTTGAGAGACAGGCAAGGAGTATGACTTCATAGGTTCAAACAATGAGCTCTAATGCATTCTCACATTTGTACTGTATTTTTATATATCTTCAAGTGTTACACACCAAAGTAGCAGCTTCAGAAGCCACATAACATTATGACACACCCCTATTGAATCCCAAGTCCCCTATGCAAAAGGAAAGAAAAAGCGCCCCATTGGTTGGTATGTTTGGAACCTCATGAAAAACTATCTCCGGAAAACCAATGTGGTACTTCAGTTGCAATGAGAAGCACAGAGGAGCTAGCGGGGAGAGAAATCTTCCAGGAAGCACTCACCGCGCAGCTCAGGGAGCCCTCACTGCTGAACTTTGGCTAATGATAGCTCCTCCGAAACCTTACATTCGCTGGCCTTGGCTTTACAGACAACCTCTGTGACCAAGCTCAGGAAGAACAACTTTGCTTTCTGTCTGTATGGTGTCAAGTTACTAACTAGGTTGGCTGAATTTCCCTTTTCAATCAGTTTTCCCCAGAAAAGCAAGCAATAAAGAGTTAAACACACCATCACACAAGGCCAGGAGGTAGGTTTTGTGTGTGTGTGTGTGTGTGTGTGTGTGTGTGTGTGTGTGTGTTTTCTTTAGGTCAACTTTGAGTGAAGGGAGATCACCTGGCAAAAAGAAACTCCTAAGGCCACCTCTGCGCAGCCTGCGGAGCAGCGGCTCACCTGTGGAAGTGGTGCCCGAGGTGCCCATTGGCTGACTGTTCATGTGTGTCTGCATATGTGGGGGGGTATAGGTATCATAACTCCGCCCATTCACCGAAGGGCTGGTAGGCAGCATGCAGGAGTACGAGGACGTCTGGCTGGGGACTGGGGGCTGAGAGGAGAAAGGCAAACCTGTGGTTACAGAGAAACACATCACACAGCCACATCCCCAAGCTCCCTCCTCCCCAGAAACTCTGCCAACAGCCCTGACCATTAAAGACATCCTCATGTAAAGTACTGGAAAATTCCATGTGGAAACTCTTAAGAGCAGGCCTCCAACTAGTCCTTCCATTGTCCACTGCTCAAGTAAAATTGCCTACACACCAAACTTCTGAAAGTACTACAACCCAGCTGGCATGGCTCAGTGGTTGAGTGTCAGCCTATGAACCAGAAGGTCATGGTTCAATTCCCGGTAGGGGCATATGCCCAGGTTGCAGGCTGGATCCCCAGTGTGGGGCATGCAGGAAGCAGCCGATCAATGATTCTCTCTCATCATTGATATTTCTGCCTCTCTCTCCCTCTCCCTTCATCTCTGAGATCAATAACAATATTTTTAAATAAATAAGTGTACTACAAATTTAGACAACTGCCCAGGTAGGACTTTTGTACATTTTTATCTTGGATCTCTGCTGACATCTTTAGAGAAGCTATGGCATGAAGACTTTCATTAATCCACATCCTTTCTTCTGTAAATCCAATCTATTTGAGAACCCAGTGACCCCCAAATCCCATATCTCAAGCTTTGGGGCAGAGAGCAGTGGAAAGAGCTCTCTATAAAGTTGGGTTTGGGGACTTTGGGAGCCTTTCATGGTTGGATTCATGGGATTAAAGATTCTTTGAAGAGGCAGATCAGTAATGATCTCATATGAAAGTGGTAAATACCTAGCCCCATCCTAAGAATTAGCTGAAACTTCCTTATAGACCCACAAACCCAGACTGGGTTTTGTCCTTAAAATTGTGTTGCTACCCTCTAAATGTGTACAATGGTGATATAGAAGAGATGAGCCTTTCTCCTAACTAAATGAGAAATACACAGAACTGGGGCAAAACTCTTCATGAACTCTCACCGACAGAAAACTTGGGATGAATTAATAGAAGCATGACGTCAGAAACAAGGGAGAAGATGATAGTACTACTTTACTCTGTGAACTATAGAAATGTTTAACATCCCAACATCCACAGTCTCAGAGAGCATGACACATTAAAGAAGATTCAGAGGAGGACACCCAATCTTTTTGTAAAATGGTGGAAGATTTTGGTCAACATGATGAAGTGATGGACAGACAGACTAGCTCCCCACATACACCAGCAACCCCTGCCCCCGCTCCAAAATTCAAAGAGTAATTTTCTCTGAACAGAATCATCAATATTTTTATTTTCTTTAGGCTTTATGAATGCATGTATATTTTGGGTTGTATAGGTTGTGTAATTTTTTTAAAGTCAGTGAAATCAATTGACCCATGCCAGTTTATATGTGGAAACAACCCTAATAGAATAGCAGCATCTGCTTGTTTCTATCGTTTTCCCATGTACACATTTGGTTATCTTCACAGAAACCTAGATGTTGCTATAATTTACAAAACTGAGCAAGCTACTTGGTGGCCTTACTAATGTCAGAGGATGACTGCTAACAGCAGGTTCAAAGAGGCAAGCAGGCCTTGAGGGCCCTGCCAGAATTTCAGCTTGCATTTGTTTCTAATTCCCAAAATCACTTCCTCCAGGCAATCAGACTTCTGGAAAATTCCAAGGCAGTTTTAGTAACACCAGCTAATGGGCTGTTAATCCCTTAATTTACAATAATTGCACTATGGCCAATAATATCCAGGTGCAATAAAAATAAACATGGAAATAATTCTTCTGAAGTTGCTTATCTAGCTGTTCCTGTATTAGTCTGAAGACTGTGAAACATTTATTTTGCTGTTATTTGGATTAGAAACCCAGCAAAAGATATTCAGTGGAGAATAAACACTCTGTAACCACAGAACTGTTTCCAGAAGGGGCTCATGCTGGTCAATCTCACACCATTGGCATCTGTAATTGTTGCACAGACAGGAGTCCTAGGAAAGTCACTGCAGAAGGCCCACCAGAAGACCAGTTTTTCCCCCCATCCAGAATCCAATCAGCTGCAAAGTTCTAGTACATCCCACCTGCACTGTACAATTCCATCATAAAGGCTTAACCTGCTACAGCAGTGATGGCGAACCTTTTGAGCTCGGCGTGTCAGCATTTTGAAAAACCCTAACTTAACTCTGGTGCCGTGTCACATATAGAAATTTTTTGATATTTGCAACCATAGTAAAACAAAGATGTATATTTTTGATATTTATTTTATATATTTAAATGCCATTTAACAAAGAAAAATCAACCAAAAAAATGAGTTCGCGTGTCACCTCTGACACACGTGTCATAGGTTCGCCATCACTGTGCTACAGGGTTTAGCATGTGTAGGGGCTGATAAATATTTGGGACAGAATTGAGAGTAGGTAGGGACAGGTTGTTATACCAAGTAAATAGCATCAACCCAGGCAGCTCGGAGTGCCACAAACTCATCACATAATTCTTGGCAAAGACACACTAAATTTCTAGCCAATACCTTCTATGTCTTTTCTTTATTGTAAGATGTACAAAGAAAACTACTTGTTTCTCTATATTAAGCATATACCACTATGCAAATATGAATCCCATTTCTGACCCATTTTATCTTCCTCACTAGTTTATCACATATAATGCCCAAAATCCATACACAGATTATATATCCTATATAATAAAACCCTAATATGCAAATCAACCGAACAATGGAACAACTGGTTGCTATGACACACACTGACCACTAGGGGGCAGATGCTCAATGTAGATGCTGCCCCTTTGTGGTCAGTGAGCTCCCACAGGGGGAGCGCTGCTCATGGCTGGTGAGCGCCGCAGCAGTGGTGGGAGCCTCTCCTGCCTCCGTGGCAGGCGGCCATCCCCCGATGTGGGGAGCGGGCCTAAGCCAGCAGTCGGACATCCCCCAAGGGGTCCTGGACTGCGAGAGGGTGCAGACCGGGCTGAAGGACACACACACACACACACACACACACACACACACACACAGTGCACGAATGTCATGCACCGGGCCTCTAGTCTATTATATGAACACATTAATATAAACCCCAATTTTATTTCTAACCTCCTCTTACTATCTGATAATGTGCCAGCATTATTTCCATTTTCCAGGATAAGTTTCACTGACATCCAAAACATGCCTCCTTCCCACCCACTATTATCAAGCTAACATTCTCTGTGAGCAATAAGCAGATAAACTTGACTGAACATCAGGTTTTTATATTTTTTAAGGGCATGAATCAATCAATCAACTAAAAACTGGATTGACTGTTTTCATCTCAGACTAGACTGGGCAAGCCAATTACTGCAGTGAGAAAGGCTCCCAAGGGGGAGTACAAGGCCAATGAAGTCTGCAGGCCCTGACCCACTCCCCACCTCTGCTAAGCAGGCAGCTACAGGCCTCACTTACTTGCATAGGCAGGTTATTGGCCATGGTGAAGCTGGGCATGGGTGGCAGAGCGCTATACGTATTGGTGAGGGCTGTGTCTGTTCGGCCCAACATGGAGCCCGATGTGAAGGAGGAAACTGCAGGGAAAGAGACACAACCAACAGTCATGTTGAGAGTCAGAACCCAGGGCAAGCGGGTTTAAACAGATTTCTTAGTAGTATTAACACTTCACATTACCAGGCGTGGTGGGTTGTGGGATTGGTTGGTAGACACTGGTGCTGAAACTACTGCTGATAGGAATATGACTAGGTGTGTTGCTGGCCTGTCTTCTCTGATTCCTCAGTTTTTCTTCTCTTCTCCATTTGGCCCTTCGATTAGAAAACCATACCTGAAATCAGACAGAACAGGTTAGCCCTGCACCCACCTCCGGCATTTCCGCTGTGCCCCTCCCCCCAATGGTGGCAAAGTATTCAGCACACTGAATCTGTTACTATTTATATAAGTGAATGAAGTTCCTTAGAAGCACTTTTGTCTCTAGAAAAGGCAAACGGTTTGAATCACAAAGCATGAAACCACAGGGAAGCTGGGTACCTGTATTCTTGCTTCAGGTAGATCTATTTTGGCTGCTAGTCTTTCTCTGGCAAACACATCTGGATAATGGGTCCTCTCAAACTCTGAAAGAGTAAGTTTTCTTTGTTGTGCCAGAAACATGTCAACCACATCCTGAATCCAACTGGCTCCCACTTCCAACCAATTCCTTTTAAAATGCTACTACTGTTGGAGGAACTATCCCACCAGAACCAAGTTACATTTTCTTTGGAATAACATTCATTCAAGGACTCTTCTGTGGGCTGAATTAGCCAAATCATCTTTTTTTTCAGTATGAGAAGTCAGACTTTTACTCTTTGAATTACTGGTACATGAAAAGAAGGAAGAAACACACACACACACACACACACACACACACACACACACAGTGAAAAGATGCCCAGAAAAAAAAAGAGACAAAAAGGAAAAAGGAATCTTTTCAGTCCTCTATGCAAAGGGCCCTGGCTAAATTTAGCTCTTTGTACTGAAGATGTGACATTTACTTTGATTTACTGCTTCTCTACTTTGAAAAACTCCATCACCTTTCTCCAGGGCCTCAATTTGCTCTTGGGTAAAGGATGTTCTATTTCTTTGTAGCTTCCGCTTCAGCTGAAGTCGCATTTGGGCTTCATCTGAATCTTCTCCATTGGAACTGATGGAGTTGGTATTCTCTCCCCCTCCTTCCTGTTGCTGGCAGCCATCTGGAACAAAAAGAATAGGACAGTATGAGAAATTTGGAATAACTCGGGGCCTCCAAAGAGGGTCTGGTACAGCCACAAACTCCAAGGGCTGTATATTTAGACAGTCTTATGAAAACATTCCCAAGGGATGTTTCTTTTTAATAAAAGGCATTTTGGACATACAATACCTGACCTTTTTTTTTTCTTTCTGTTTTTATCCAGATGAACCCGACCATACAATATAGATACTTAAAGAGTAACATTTCTTCGAATGACAAAATAAGTGCTAAAGTTTCTGATTAAAATTATCTTTCATAACTAAACTTGACTCCCCAAATGCCTTACCCAGTTACCTTTCCCTACAGAATTTACTTACCTATGGCTGTGTTGGGAAAATAGAAGAGTGATGCTCAAGATTTCAGCTGATCTATAATCAGTAATTCCTATCTAATCAATTAGATGTTGATAGGTTTGTAGAAAATGCTATTAAGAAACCAAACCAAGCTTGTAATCTTTTTAAAAAAATATTTATCTAGTTTTTATTTTAATTCTGCACAGTCAATTTCATTTTAAAGGTTGTGAATTTAGAAGTACTCGCATTGTTCTGCAGTTTTATTCAACTATTGTATGAGTGCGCTTTGCCTTGACACCTATTACAAGCACAGCTGTAATTATATCATCACCAAGAACAGGCTATAATTGCTGAAAATCGAATTTTATATTTAGATAAAAGGACTGTCCATTCTTTGTAATGTGTTGCACCAGAGAAAAGTAAGATTTCTTTTAAATTTTTAACGTGTAATTTTAAAAAAAGAAACAGAGAGTTCACTAACTAGCTAAGTATTCTAGGCTGCAGCTGAGTCCTTGGCATATCATTTAAGTGGTACATTTTTAATTAGGGCATTTCCACCACTTTTAATGTAATTTCTATCATTAAACAGGGGAAAGTTTTATTGTTTTCCCTTGTTGCTTGGAGGGCAAGATGTGCACTTGAGCTAGCTGTCTCTTGTCTTGCGCCTTGCCCAGGAGGCCACAGCCTGTCTGTAGGGAAGCACTCATCCCTGACGGGGCCTGCAAGCTGGGTCCTGGGTCTTGGGTCCTGAGGCCCCCAAGGGATACCAACAGGGGCTGACCTAGAAACTTGGCCAGTGGGGGGAGGGGCTTCTAGGGGGCCCTGGTGGGAATCGACTTGGCCAGGAATATCATTTATAATCAGGAGACAATAGGCATCGCCTTCAAAGAGTTCAGGGAATTGTGACAGGATCTAGTGGGATCTTTTCAGGAACTTTGAAATGTTTTAAAACCCCAACTTTCTCCCCCATTTAAACAGGCGGATTCATCCGCACTGGCCACCATATGGGCCCTTGGAGATCTATTGAGATGACCACCAACACTTGAATAGCGAGGGGCTGCTTTTCAGCGCCGCACAATGCCCTGCGAGTAAGGGAAACTATTAAACTCCTGGGGCAGGAGCGCTGGCAAACTTTCGTGGGCAGAATTTTGAGGCCACAATGAGCGCGGACAACAAAAGGATTCTCTTGAGGCGTGCAGCGGGCCACATTGTGTTACAAGAAGCCCAGTCAACAGACTTTTCAGTGAAGTGTGTTAACCCCTCTGCTCCGCTATCATTAATCACTGTCCGGAGAGCGGGCGCC